ATTTTATTTACTTATTTGACAGAGACACAGCAAGAGAGGGAACACAAGCAGGGGGAGTGCGAGAGGGAGAAGCAGGCTCTCCGCTGAGCAGAGAGCACCCTAGGATCATGACCAGAGCCGAAGGCAGACACAACGACTGAGCCACCCATGTGCCCCAAAAAATAAACCTTTGTGGTTTGAAACCATGCAACAAAGTTGCATTTTTTGTTATTGTTACAAAACCTAGTCTATCCAAACTAATATAAAAATTTTGCAGGAATTAAAGTGATATTTTAAAGGAATAAATAAATACATAAATACATAAATACACAAAATTAGTGTCCAGAATAATGGATCCAGAAAGAAATTATTCTTTCAGAAAGAATATTTGGCTTATTACTTCTATATTGTGTTCATTTACTAATGTCTAGTTTAAGGATTAGATCTGTGGTTCTCAAAATTTAGAGTGTATCAAAATTACCTGGAGGACTTGTTGAAACCCAACCCCATCCCTAGAGTTTCTCATCTGTAAGTCTGAGATGAGGCCTGAGAATCTGCATTCCTAACAAGTCCCCAGGGCTGCTGATAACTGCTGGTCCATGAGTCACACACTAGAACCACTGGATTAGGTTGCCTGCTCATTGGATGTTACAGCTAAATTCTTTCCCTAACTCCATTATAATATAAAAGCAATGATTGATTCTGATTTTTTGTTGTCTTCAAATCCAGGTCAGTAGAGTCTTTCTCCTTAAAATCTTCCTCATACCTGTCTGTTCCCCCCACCACTTTCCTAGTTGAGTCTATCATTGTCTCTCACCTAGATTTCTGGAATGGCCTTCAACTACTTCTTCCCTCACATTGCTTCTTGCCCACCTTCATTCATTCTTTATATGGCAACTATAATTATCCTAAAAACGAGGCAAATCTGATTCTGTAACTAAGGTTTTTTCCTCTTTCTGTCTCCAATCTCCAATGACCCCCCCAAACCCCACAAAACAAAACCACAATCACATTCAATGGCTCCCCTCCCACTTTCACTCCCCTTCACCGGGCTCATTTTTTGTTATCGTTAGATCTCAGCCCACCTGCAATTTCCTCCAGGAGGCATGCCTGACCTTCCTGAGATGGGATTAGAAGCCATTCTCTGTGCAGCTACAGCACTCTAAATTCCTGTCACTACATTGAGTGTACCTGCTATCTCGCCCATTAGGGCATGAGCCATGTGAAATTAGGGCCTGTTTGCTGATTGTTGCTGTCCCCCTATTCCTACACACTGTAGACAACCAACACAGGCTGTAATGGCCTGTGTATACATTTATTTCAGAAGCTGTTTACTAAGTCTGATTTTGCAGCCAGCCAAATGAGCTCTCATAGTATCCTTGATAAGTACCACCCCCCCCCCCCCCCCCCCCGCAGCAAAGGATCAGGGTGGAGTAACGTGTGAGGTGTGAAGAGAATTCTAGGTATATTGAATAAGTTCTTGGGCCTTTGGAATAAGGACTAAAAAGAATTAAACCCTGTTTAATGTTTCATTCAACCTAAGCTAGAGATGGTCAAATATTGAGGAAACTCTAGAACTCTTCATTTTAGGCACATGGTCATTGCCAGGAGTAAGAGAAAATTATTCTTTCAGGCTCATAATCCTTTATACTAAGAAAGCCCCACAACTATCTGCTCAAGAGTTGGTTATGTTCATAAAGAACATGGGAGCTGCTGCCACCAAATGTTGCCCCTTGAGAGATGAGCAACAATTTGCCTGCATGGAGGACTCGGTAAGTCTGTCTTGACTTCATGTTTGCCTGCTCTTGAAGTCCTAATCTCTAGCCTCCAGCACTCAATGTCATGTTTGTGGACACATCATGAATTGTCAATGGAGCTTGATATTTCTATCCCCAGCAGAACTTCTTTTAGGCCAACTCATGCCAATTGTCTTGATTAGCAGCAGAGGTAAGACTGTTACTTCTCTAATGGTGGTGATGTCAGATTCAACAAGTCTTTACCTGGATCATACTCCATGGTCTAACTCTTGGATTTTCAAGCCAACAAAATTGACTTTGTCAACAACTTCAAAGAAAATGCTGATTTTAGACTAAGTCATCCTAATCAAATGTATAGGAAAAAAACAAAACAAAACCAAAAAACAGTCACCACACCTCTGACACCGGATGTTTTTCCATACAAGAAGCAATTTTCTGTGACCCCAGCTGGGTGTCCTACAATTTAACTCATTCTGACAACTCTATCTGGAGATAACGTCAGATTCCACAGGTTAAGGACTCAGTCCTACAAGACTGCTCCTATCCCACTTCAGATAACATTTGCAAGTCCAGGTTGTCCCCTGTGATTTTGACTAACCAGCTATAAATCTAAAGTTCCCAGGATCTCCTTCTCAGGTTTGATTAATTTGTTAGAGCAGCTCATAGAACTAAGAGGAACACTTACTTAAGTTTACCAGATAGGTAAAATATTTGATAAAGGAAAAGGTGAACTTCCAAATGAAAAGATACTTAGGGTGAGGTCTGGGAGCGTCCTGAGTGCAGAAGCTTTTGTTCCTGAGGAATTGGGATGTGTCACCCTCTCAGTATATGGATGGGCTCACCCACTTGGGAGCTCTCCAACTCCCAAACTGTTGGGATTTTAAAAAGCTTCCTTATGTATACATGATCAATTATTAACTCATTTCCAGCCCATCTCCCCTCTCTGGAGAATGGGGGGTGGGGTGGGGCTGAAAATTCCAAGCTTCTAATCATGGCTTGATCTTTCTGGGAATGAGTCCCCATCCAGGAGCCCACCCAGAGTCGCCTCATTAGAACAAAAGATGCTCCTAATTCCCTTATCACTTAGGAATTTACAAGGGCTTCAGAAGACCTTTGTCAGGAACTGGGGTCAAAGATCAAATGTTTATATTGTCTATTATCTCACATCAAACTCACAAGTGTTAAATTTATTAGACAGAATACCACCACTGTGTTCATTTACAATGAGAAATGTCTTTCCAATGGCATCAATAATTGGGCCTAATAACTAGAGTACACTTTTTCCTGAATGAAAATACTTAGGAAGTTGAATGAGAATATGGGTAGTTGTGCAAATGGAATCAGAAGAAGGGAAGGGATGGTCTTAAGGGATATTTCTTCCAGGCTATCCTGAGAAATGAGAAATTATGTCTTCCTCACAATGGAGAACATCCCTCCAGGGACCTGTATGCTCATGTCTCCAAGATGTAGTCTCCAGGTCTCTCTCAAGTGGTATTATTTTAACACTACTGAATTCTTATTTGGTGACAGTTTTCTCTGCCCTAAATGTTCTTGATAAAACATCTCCTTTATGCTAAATTGGTCTTTCTTCTGATAAAACATACTTTTTTTGATTGAAGATATAAAAAATTTTATTATCTAGCCCTGTCTAACTTTTATTTTATTATAAAGTTTTATTATCTAGTCATGCCTTTCTTGGGGAACTCTTTCAATTAGACTTATGTGTTTCTAAAGCCTTATTTTTAGGTGATCTCTTTGGTTACATTTGAAATGGATAAACTCATACATGAAATGTTGATGCTTACTGGCTTCAATTACTTCATTCCCAAATATGTAAATGATTGGGAATTTGGGGAGTCATACTTGAAAAGGCATACAGGTGGGCTTGTAGACAACATCAGGATAAGAATCAGACACACAAGGAGCAAGGCAAGGTGACATTTCTAGAAGAGGACAAGGAAATGAAGGTGATAACTGAACTAGGATCCAAAGATTTCTTTCATCATTCAGTCATTCAATAAATATTCATAGAGCATTTACCATATGCCAAGTTCACTTGGTGAACACTGTGGTGTTTATAGATGTCCAGTTTTAGAAAATAGAAACAAATTGGATTTGAGCTTCTTAAGTAAGAACTCCACTCAGCAATTATACTTCTGAGTCAAATTAACAGTGCTGTTGACTTGAGGCTTGATTTTAATTTGAAAGAGCGTAAGAAACTCCTATCTTAAGTCAACACTGGTCTACAAATTGGACTGGGAAGGAACCTGGAGGTGGAGTTCAAGTGAACTCAACTTGAGGATGAGGGGAAGAGGGAGGACAAGTCTGGGAACCAGGCTGCATCTGACACTCCTGCTTTTTCCCCAACAGTGAAATCCAGGCTGAACTAGAAGAAACCAGAATTTGAGAGTATTTATGAGTCTTATTTTCTATGGAGTAAAACAAAACAAAACAAAACAAAATGACCTAAACCTTATGGCTCTTATTTTAATTCTCTTCTGGGAAAGGCAAAACTAATTCTTGGAGGTTTATGCAGAAGACATGAGGCAGAGCCTATCAATGCTGGTGTGGGCCGCTGCTGTGATGCCTCGTATGCCTTCAGGAAGCCATGCTTTGATGATCTGCAAGTCAATGGAACTTATATTTCTCCACCTTTATCCTGTGACCAAGTCATCAACCTTAAAGAGAACTTGTGCAAAGCTCAGGAGGAGGAATTCCAAACTGAAAAGCAAAAGTAAGAATCCTTGTTTAATTTGTTCTTTAATTTGTTCTGCCCACAAGGGAACAGGTATAGAGAACTGTAAACTGGGCTCAGATATAAATATTGCATAATGAATGGATCAGCTAAATGTTATGTTAGAGGTCAAGTAGAATGGAGAATATTCCTGCAGTTTTGCAATATGGCTATCATGGTTGCTACCCCAATTAGATCAGCTAGTGAGATTGAAGTCTATTGATCATAAAACATTGACAGAGCAGTACATTAATTTATTTTTCCTAAAATGGGAAATTTGGAACATTTGAACATGTGTGTGTGTGTATGATATATACATATGTAATGCATATGAAAACATATATAAATTAGAAAATCTTATGAACATAAGTTATTACTTTGCAAAGTGCAATTCGGATTTGGTTGCTGTTTCCAATACTGAAGCCTATTGGTCAGAAATGTTGCCAATAGAATACAAAGTCTATACATTCGTGCAGAGTTTCCCAACATGTGTTCTATGTAAAAAGGGCTTCTGGATGAAGTCAGCAATAGAGTCTGCAGGTTGACTGGATAAGTCTGTTGACCTGGGCCAGCCTCAGCCATTCTTAGCTGGGCTTGCTCAAGAGTGTATGGTCAGCTGCTGAGTCAGCTGGGAGCTGGCTGGCCAAGGCTGGCCTTGGCTAGAACGGCTTGTCTCTGCTGCACGTGGTCTTCTGTCCTCTGGCAGGTTAACCTAGGCTTCTTCACATGGTAGCTGGGAGAAGGTGGCTGTGTGGAGGTCTCACGAGGCCCAGGTTTGGAAATATGCAATGCCACCGATGCTGTAAGGTAGGTCATAGGGCCAGCCCAGATTAAAGTAAGGTATGGAAATAGACTTCATTTCTTGATAGGAAGAGTTAGAACATCACATTGTAAAGGACATGAATACCGATAAAGATGGATAATTCATCCATTTTTGTAATCAATCTGCCACCTGTGGATCATTAATACAGTTGTTGAAACTATAGAAAATGATAAATGTCAAGATAATGGTGGAAAGAGAGGTGATACACTGGGTCTGAAGTCATCAAAAATGAGGGAAAATGACCAGACTTTCTATATGGGGCAGGGATACGTATCGATGAGGATGTTAGAGCTTGATAATGTGTACTTCAAAGGAGCTCTGGCTTTTCAAAGAGGATGAAGAAGAGCTATCTTGGAAGTAAAAGAGACCTAGATACTAAGGTAGGTGGAGTTCAAGTAAAACAGCCTCCCCTTGAAAGGTCCTGGGGGAAGCTGTATCCTTTGGGGAGTCTCATGTTTTCTTAGGAGCAAGACAGAGAAGTTCAGAAGAGAAGCTGTGGATAGAGGGACATTTTCTTGAGAAAGCCTCAAGTTACAAAGGAGACAGAGGACCAGGAGAGCAGGAGATGGGTCAGATTAGGGGTGTAGAAACCGCAGCATGGTGACAGGTGACCTGGGAGACTCAGATTTCTGACTGTGACCGAGGCTGAGGTGACTGAGGTGTCACCGGGTTGGCTTTGGAAGTAGCGCATCAGCACACATAACTTTAGAGCCGCCGATTTGCCCTTTGCCACAGACGGCATAAGGTGATTAAGATCTCACAGGTGGTTGGCATTTCCCCCAATTCTCCCCACTCCTGCATAGACCGATTGAATGGAACAGTTACTGTCAGCTCTTAGAAAAGAGACTCCTTGTTTGCTGCTGCAGACAAAGAATTTCCTTTCTTAGCAGCATCAATCATCTATCTTTTCACCCCCATTCCACTCCTGAGCCTGGAGCCAAGATATTCCCATGGTCCAGGCATTTTCCCCTAGAATGAACTCTGCTTCTGGCGAGTGTGCTGTTAGAGGCCCCATTTGGAGATGACCAAAGGTGACCGTTCTAGGAAAAGCCAAAGGGTGAAATTCTGGTTTCCCTGAATCAGCAGTATGTGTTGATAGCACTCCAACCCGCCAACGGTGGGGCAGCTCCCTTCTAGAGCCCCTACTGCTGTCCTCAGGAGAAAGCAAGGGAGCCCTAGTCCTCATTATTCCTTCCCCCCCAAGATCATTAGAAGTGGTAGCTTCCTGTATTTCTAATTCATTTATTTACTCTAAGACATGCACTTGCAGGGTCTAAATATTACGAGTCCAACAATATCTCTTGCCAAGTGAGGCAAAGTTTTTGTTGCTTCTGGAATGACGCATAGTCCCAGGCAGTAAGTACAGGCTGTTGCTTGCTCTGTTTTACCACAGTACTTGCAATTCTTAAGCCAGCTGACCCTTGGAATCCTTACTGCAGTTGTCAAGGTGAGCCAGTCCTAACCTAGACTTTAACACTTCCCAGGAAACCCCCGAAGACCATTGTTAACATTTAGTCAGCCATTCTATTGTTCGCTCAGGCTGGATGTGGGAACGTAGAAGAATGAGGTCTCTCCTAGTGTGCACGTTTGCCTTCTTTTGAGGAAGTTCTCTGGGCATAGATAGGCACCGCTTTATGTATGGCATCTCACCAAATCCTTACCACAAATTTTTGAGGTAGATAACATTATATGCCATTTTAATTATAAGGAAACTGAGGCTCAGAAGGCAAGAAGACTTGGTATGAGATCATGCAACAGGTAAATAGGTCGTTGAGCTGGAAAATTCACCCAAGCTATCTGGCTCAAGGCACATACGCTTTAACTACCAACATATAGCTTTTAGTGTGCCCTAATCAAGGAATCATAATATTGGTTATAATTTTTAAAACACTAAACTCTTGGGGCATCTGGATGGCTCAGTTGGTTAAGTATCCAACTCCTGATTTCAGCTCAGGTCGAGATTTCAGGGTTGTGAGTTTGAGCACCCAGCCGGGCTCTGTGCTGGGCATGGAGCCTGCTTAAGATTCTCTCTCTCCCTCTTTCTCCGTCTTCCTCTGCCCCTCCCCTCCTACTCACACCTGTGCTTTCTCTCTCTCCCTCAAAATAAAATAAAATAAAATAAAATAAAATAAAATAAAATAAAATAAGTAAATAAAATAAAATAAAACACTGAGCTCTTAGATAAGGGCTAGATAATAAAAAGTATGAAATATTAGGAATCATCCCTGTTCTAGTGAATTCACTGTGTTCTCTGTATGGAGAAAACAGTAGCATAGGAAGAGTTAAAGTAGAGATTTCTGGAATATTCTGCGAGAATCCATTAGGAGTCAAGGGTCAAATTGGAAAAAAAACCCTCTTACTTCCTGGGATAGTGGCAAGGGCTCTCTATGGCTTTTATACATTTATAACTCGGGCTGACCATCACAGCATAAATGCAAAAACAAGCAAACAAAAAAAAAACAGTAAAGGGGCTTCGGGAGGGGAAAGAAAAATTGAGCAAGGTAGAAGACAAGGTAGAAATTGAGATCATGTAATAAGATAGAGACAATCAAAGGGAAATAGAAGTTCAAAGTAAAAAAAAATTAAAATCCAATTAAAAATATTGAGTTGAAATGCAAAGATTTAGGAAAGTATACGAAGACTAGAATGTACTTTAAATGAAATGGTAGGTAAATTTAATGAAAAAGGAAGATTAATATCATAGAAGTGAAAAACTGAAAACAAGTTGATGGTACTGAATTAGAAATAGGATTTAAGACATAAAAAGGTAAATTAAAAATTTTAAGCTAAAAAATAGAATTAAGGGAACTATTTTTAAATAACAGTGGTCAGGTTGGTAGGTAAGGAGATCAGGGTGGGAGAGGGAGGAAGTGGGCAGGAGAGGTAAAGAAACTGCAAGCGGATCACAAGTGTTCGACAGTTTTGGGGGGTAGGGAGTCCAGCTTCTAAGTGTCACAGAGTCCCCAGTTGTAGAAATGACCGCCTTTATGTCTGGAGTTCCAAGGAGGGATAACATGACCTCCTGATATCCCTGCTCTGAATTTCATTCCCAGACCTTCTATCTTCTCATAATGGGAGGCTTTTTTCCCTTTGCCTATTCCAGTACAATTCGGATGTTTCTCCGGGTTTAAATAAGCAGCTGTTGGCTGATGTTCGGGAAACCAGCGGTCTTGCTCGTCTTCCCCCTACTGGTCCCTTTGGGGAAGTGCATTTGGAAATCAGCTCACCCAGCAGGGGAAAAGGAAAGCAGAGGGGAGTGGTTCAGGGTGACTGAGGCATAAGTAAGGGAAGGGAGAGAAACTTTTGGGGTGAGACTAGAGAGCTTGGGAGGGGCCAAGCCATCCAATCCCTTGGAATCACTTGGATCCCACAGCTTGTAAGTGAGAGAAGAGGGTATAGACAAGGGAGCTTTCCTGCCTCTCCCATTAGATTTCTCTATTACTGTTGAATCTACAGCTTAGATCCTCAGGGAAATTATGAAGACGCTCATCAATCATTTGCTGAATGAATAAATGAATACATAGGAGAAGAGCTGTGACAATGTACCATTTATTGTGAGAATCAGGGAAGAAGGCGACCGTGGTTGGAAACAACCGGTAATTTGAAATGGAAAAAGATGTGCTATTATTATTATAATTATTCATCATTACTATTACCTTTGCCATTGTTTATTGCCTGGAGTATGCCAGTAACTGTACTCAGCCCTTTAATACGTTACTTTTGGTCCTTACAATTGCCTTGCAATGTAGGTGTTCACATTTTCTTTTTATAGATAAAGGTCAGAGAGGTTAAGTACTTCACTCACCATCACACTATCTAGTTGAACCAAAGTAAGTTTGACTTCAAAGTTTGTGCTCTTTTTATGACAAAAGAAGGAAAGAGAAGTCCAGCTTTTGCATGAACTAGTAGTAAACTCTGTCCCCTTCCTGTACTAGCTCCTGCCCTTTCGGTGCTGAATCCCCTAAGCCAGATCATAGAAGCCCCAATTACAAGTTTGGAGATGGGTATTTCCACAGTGTAGGCACCCATGACAGGTAGTTTCTATTACCTGGGACTTTAGCAAGCCTATGCTTTCAAGGATTGGTCAGTGAATCTCAGCATCATGAGTAATATTGTTTTTGTAGGAAAATACATTCTAAGACAAATTCCACCAAATTCCAGTGGAAAATAGCCTGTATTTCTCACTTTTACTAATTAGTTTCTTAAAAACTGATAATGATTATTCAAAGGTAGTGGAAACTAGTTTGATGATATAGCTAACCATACAGACTTGAATTATACAGAGATACTTAAAAAGAAGTACAGCATTTTCTTTCAAGTGAGATCAAGTTTAGGTCTAATTAGAAGACTGACTATGTACAGAAGAGTCGGAGAGAAAAAAATAATGTTTATACTGTTCTATTTCTTTTTAAAATATTGATTTCTGTTGTTATTAAAGTAATGCATAATCATTGCAGAAAATTTAGAAAACACAGAGAGAAGAAAATCATAACACTTTTATTCCAACACTGCAGAGGTGCCCATTGTAAACATATGTGTAGTATAAGAATATATAATGTCACACATGCATACAAGCGCACGCTCCCACAATTGCCCTTTGCCCATCAGTCTATGGTTCTAATATTTAATACGTTTTGCACAATCTTGTGACTAGCTGCTTATACCAAATTTCGGTTCCAGCAATTATCCCTAGAGTCCGTGCTTAGGGCAGAGCTGAGGAAACTCCCTTGACCCTCAGGAATTCTCCCAGCATGCTCTCCCTGGCACCACTCCTGGGCCCCTGGGTCCTATCCTGCCCTCCAGGTGCTGCTGTCTCCTGCTCAGCTGCAGATGGGGTCCCTTGAGATGACAAAGCTGTGTTCTGTTTTGTCGTGAAAAGAAAATCACCCCTTTCCCCTGACCCCCAGGATTATCATCCCCTTCAGCGGGCCCCAGGGCAGTGCTGTGTATGTCTCCATAGTCGGCAGGACTTCTGTGAAAGTTCTCTTACAGCACTTTTTCAAATAGGAATCCTGATCCCATGTAACTCAGAAATGAGTCTAATGAAGGCTCAGTTGGGGAACCACGAAATCATTCCCGTCTTCCACTGACCAAGCTTTTTTTACTGGGTGGCAGTCTGTGAGGCTGACTTCTGGTCTCAGGAGGAGTTCTCCCAAGTGGTTCCCAATCCTCTTGCCTTCTGGGAGGGAGGCTGACCTCACTGGTTTGCTGTATATGTCCAAAACTGTAATATTCCCAGGGGGTCTGAAATCATCGTTACAAATGCAAAATGGAGATGACATAGAGCCTTATTAAAAAGGTAACTGACGATATTACATGGGATAATATAAATTCTCAGCACATTGCCTGGATCATAGTAAATATGTTGGCTGTTGCCACTCTTTTTGATATAGTCTTTAAAAGTTATAATGTATGCATTTTGGTCACTAATTAATCTTCAAAACCACATTTTAATGGCATGGTACTATTCCACCATCTGGGTACTATAATGAATTTAACCATTCCTTATTGCTGGACATGAAAATTGTTTTCAACTTCTAACCAGTCTACATTTTGACAATGAGCATTTTTTTTTAAAGATTTTATTTATTTATTTGAGAGAGAGAATGAGAGAGAGAGAGAGCACACGAGAGGGGGGAGGGTCAGAGGGAGAAGCAGACTCCCCGCTGAGCAGGGAGCCCGACGCGAGACTCGATCCTGGGACTCCAGGATCATGACCTGAGCCGAAGGCAGCCGCTTAACCAACTGAGCCACCCAGGCACCCGACAATGAGCATTTTTGTACATTGAGCCTTTGTTCCCATATCTGATTTCCCTCCCTAGATCCCTAGGACTTAGAGTTAGAAGCAAACATGAGAGTAGTTAAAATCTCTTCACTTCCTTCAGCGGTCTGGCAGCTGAGGGGCAATGATTACGTGTTCCTCAAACCAGCCTCCTTTTGAGGTGGTTTCTGAAAAGAAATCATTAGCGGGGCGCCTGGGTGGTTCATTTGGTTAAGCATCTGCCTTCGGATCAGGTCGTGATCCCAGTGTCCTGGGATCAAGTCCCACATCGGGCTCCTTGCTTGGCAGGCCCCTGGCAGGAAACCAGCTTCTCCCTCTGCTGCTCCCCCTGTTTGTGCTCTCTCTCTGACAAATAAATAAATAAAATCTTAAAAAAAAAAAATCATTAGCTTGTGCTTTCCCAATATTTTTAGTCCTGTTGTTGTTTTAGCTTGTCTATCCTCAAGGCAGGGTGGGGGTGTGAGGGCTGGGGGTGGTGGGAGAGGGTGGAGTCGAAATGGCAAGTTCAAAGAGGCATGTCCAGTGGGCTACCATGTTAAGCTGGATGTCTTGTTCTGTTGTTTAATGGGATCGGCATGCCATGGGCATCTGGGCGCGGCTGTTTTTGTAGGTCCCTAGGGCACTGCTCGACTGCGCTGGTCTTAAGAGCTGCAGAGGGCCAAGTTTGCTTTAGCCATGTCCCCCACTTTGCTCCCGGTGCCTGCCTTCCGTGCGGGTGACCATGCTCACTGCTGCACAGTGCCTGAGCCGGTGCCACCTGTATGCTGGGGACGTTGCTGTTGGTCACTGCTGGGCAGTGAAAGGTGGTGGCCTCTTAGTCCAGGAGTCAAATGGCTCAGCGCGTCTCTTGGGTCAGCTGCCCACATTGAGACAGCTGGGAGAAGAGGAGGGCGTGTGTGGGGCAGAGAGTGAAACTGACCACAGCGCGCACCTCCCCCGTCACTGGCTGGTCCCTCCCTTCCATCTTCCCCCACTGCTGACAGCAGGACACAGACTGTGCCTGCCCCCTGCCTAGGGAGCAGCCCACCCCAGGCAACTGGAGCTTTGGAGTTTTCTGTCTTGTGATATGATATATTTATAACACTATACTTCTAAGCCTAAAATAATTACTATCTGCAATTGTTTACTGGACCCCTGGCTTAAATTATCAGAGAAATAGCTACTTAGAGCTTTGAGATATTTTCTTTTATACCCACTCAAGGCACAAATAAGGCCACGGGGTATTATCAATTTGAATTTGAAAACGAAGAATAAGCAAGGATTTTTGGTTAAACAGTAAAATACTGATTAATGTGCATTTTTCCTACCCCTCATGCCTTATTTTCTCTGTGGTTAAATCTGTCTTGGTCTAAAACGGTAAAAAAAAAAAAAAAAGAGAGAGAGAGAGATAAAGAGGGAAAAGATAACACTGGAAGATTTGGAATACTATTAACTAGAGAGACAGAAACCAGGTTACACTTTTGAATATTCAAAGTGGTTGAAACTACAGTTGTGGGGGAAACTCTTTGGTGAAGGAAATTGGAGATGATTATCAAACCATTATAGTTTGAAATTGGTTTATTGGCTTATTATTAATAACGTATGAAAGACCCTCAACTTCCAGGTGTGTTACACTTGTAATATTTATTTGGAAGTTAGTTGTTCAGAATAAATGTTCATAACAAAATATTATAGGAAAAACGATTTAATTTACTATATCATCTATTTACCATCCAATGCAATGAAAATAGAAAACAAAAATCTTTACCCTAGTAATAATTACATAAAAATAATTAAATTTAATGTATGAATTATGTAAAAGAGATGTCCTGGAAGAAAAGTATGTTGGGTAAAACACGAAGATGGAGATGGGCAGTGTGAAATCTGTGAACACAGCACGGCATTTTCCGGGCTTCTAACCATCAGAGTGGGGGCGACCAAGAGGTGTGGGTGGTGTCTAGCTTTAAATCAGTAAGGCAGGTGTGCAAGCTGGTCTTCTAGAACTCAGGGTGTACCTGTATTTTTGCCACTCCTTTCTGATTCAGGTTCCTCAGCAACCTTGTGAAGCAGAAACCATACGCAACAGAGATGCAGTTCCAATCGATGCTTGCAGATTTCGCCCACCTGGTGGAGAAGTGCTGCCAAACAGAGACAAGTGAAATGTGTTTCCAAGAAGAGGTATCTCTGTCTCCTTGTCTTTTCTCTTAGCATGCTTAGGATTTACTGAAGTTAAAAAAAAAAAAAAAAAAAGTTCTCCATTCCAGTTGTGAGTGAATGCGGAGAAAATCACAGTCTAGATGGATTGGTGTAATCGATTATATTCAGCTTTAGGATATGTTAATATTTATGTTTACTTGAGGAAACTATCAGGGTTAGACACAGATAGAGATGAATACCAGAGTCATGACACCAGATGGAGTGGAAATGTTTAGGATTCGGGGTGTGAGGAGGGAGGATGGACTGAAGACTTGGGTAACTGTAGAGAAATGGTGTCCTTGGAATGTCATGAAATTTTAAAGAAATAGCAGTTTAAAAACCTGTCTGGGCAAACTGTAGTTTTGTTCTAGAAATTTCTGGGACACAGTCAGGAATAGTCACCAAATGTAGTTTGGGGCTTAACTAAGGAACCAGTGAAAAGGGTTTCATTTTCTCAGTGGCCAGAAGATCATCAGAATAGGGGTTGAAGAATAGAGAGGAAAGAACAACGACAGAACAGAGTATCTGTGCACACCCACCAAACTGACTCCCAGCAGACTGTTTTCTGGAATTCATCTAATTGCATACAGTTAACAAGTAAATGATTTTCATTTTAAGTAGGAGTTAAATTTCTAAGAATATCATGGTAGGATGTGGCACAGAAAATTCACATAAATTCATGGAGGGGGGGGCGCCTGGGTGGCTCAGTCGTTAAGCGTCTGCCTTCGGCTCAGGTCATGATCCCGGGGTCCTGGGATCGAGCCCCACATCGGGCTCCCTGCTTCTTCTCCCTCTCCCACTTCCCCTGCTTGTGTTCCCTCCCTCGATGTGTCTCTCTCTGTCAAATAAATAAAATCTTAAAAAAAAAAAAATTCATGGAGGGGACCTAGGACAAACTGCTGTCCCAGGGGCATGAAGTGAGGAACAGAAACTCAGAAATAGTAGATTATAGTATCTGAGTAGAGGAATGCAAGAGTGTAGGTAAAAAAAATAAAGCAGACTAGGGATGCTTTGGATCAGGGTTAACTTTAGCAGTGGCCGAGGGAAATGTTTTCGCAGGTAACAATTTTCATGAATCCTTAATTACCTTCAGTGGCTCTTTTCTACCCATTCAGCTAAACTGTACATGTGTCTATGTTAAAAATCATATGTCTATGGTCTAGTCAAGGGCAGGCAAACTACAGCCCTTGGGCTAATCGACTCCACTTCCTGTTTATATAAATAAGGTTGTATTGATACACAGTCGTGCCCATCTATTTATGTATTGTCTACGGCTGCTTTCTATCTACAACGGCTGAATTAAGAAATTGCAGACTGAGACACAACTGTGACAGAGATTGTATGAACTGCAAAGCCCCAACTCTTGACTATCAGGTTGTTCACAGAAAAATTTTACTGACTTCCAGACTCGCTGATACACAAAATCAAAGTAATCACCCATGCTAGAGTCTATTTATTTATTTTAAAACCTTTTTGCTTTTTGTAAAGCATTCAGAAAACATGTTTCCACCTGAGTAACAACCTCATAGCCACACAGATCAACACTTTGAAGAAGGGCCTATGCCTGCGATTTCCCAAGCGAGTTTTCTTGAAGTATTCTTGCTCCTGCATAAGAATATTATTTGCTCAAACTATTATTGGTGAGTAGCAGGATAGGAAGATTTCTGTGTGTTTTTCCCCACACTTTTTGCCTAACAGCAATCTTTAACTTAATGGTTGGAAAGCCCAATTATTTTCCCCTTCTCTCCCCTCCCCTCCCCTCTCTACTTTCTTTTAGGATTTCTCCTCCAAATTAAAGGAGAAAATAGAAGCTATCTGAAGAATGTATCATGTTCATTAAAATTTGCCAGAATTACTTCTTCAGATAAAAATGCTTATTATCTGTAATTATGTACTATCTCTAAAGTTTGGTCAAGTTTACCCTTGTCTGATTATCCTAAGGCAGTGATTCTGAAATGTTAGTGTGCATCAGAATCAATTCCAGAGCTTACTAAAACAAAATCAGCATTTTCCACCCACAGGGTGTCTGACTCAGTAGTTCTGGGGTGGGGTCTGATAATTTGCATTTCTAACAAGTTCCCAGGTGCTGCTGATGCTGCTGGTTTGGGGACCACTTTAAGAATCACTTTGCTAAGGTGCAAGTGGCTAATCATACACTGTTCCCCCTTCCCTCCCCATATTTCATATGCCCAACACTCAGTGAGAAGCTGGAACCAAGGACAGTAGCAGAAATAATGAAACAATGGAAAAATAACATATTTATGAAAGAAAGGGAAAGAATTTGGGGATATTAAATATAAAGATAAGACTGGAATATTTAAAAAAATAACTTTATGGTGTATGAACAGGCTTAGCAAAAAATGTGGGAATAGATTATCAAACTATTTTAGAATTTTATTGTCAAGAATTCGTGTCTTTGTATTTCTATGTTTAATAAAGGGTTCTAGATTTGACTATAGTGCAAAGGAATAATACCTAGATACTCCAGGAACCCCCATGGAACCAAAACCCCAGAAGTGAAGAGACTCAGCCAACTGGCAGTCTATGCATGTTCCAAGTTAGCTAGGAAAGACTAACTGCTCCAAGGACCTACAGGCATTTTCTTTGTTTTCCTTTCTGAGATTATAATAGTCGATTATGTGAACCTGTTCTGCCTGTTAAAAGAGAAAGTGGGCAGGTTTGAAGACTGTATTACTAGCTATGGCTATTGGGAAGATAAAGCATTTTTAGATAAGACGGAAGACATATTTTAAGAAGCAAGCCAAATTCTATGGAGAAAAAGGGTGGACCAAAGTCAATGTTGGAATGTTGGCAAGAGTACAACTGAAATATATATGTAAGAAAAAAAATAAGAAATTCAGCTACACAGGGTGAATTTGGATCATTCAAAGAAAAGGCATCTCACGTTCCATGAAATAATAACACGAACTATAGACATCAGCAGGTTCAACAAGAAAATTTGACTCACAGAAATTCTTTCTGCCAGGCCAGTGGGGAATGATAATGATAGCCTGAGATATTTCTCTATCAACCAACAGAATATAATATAGAAGAAAGTAAACATGAATTAGCAGAAATGTGGGCAGGTTGAAATAATGCTTTGAAAATAATACATGAAATTTAACAATGGAAAAAAAACGAGGTTCTACTGTTAGATGTGACTTGACACAGGTTCATGTGGAAAGATCTGCCAGTTAAGGCATCTGTGCTTAACAATTTGTTGGGTCTGGTATCAGAGCTACCGCAATCTTGGATGTGTTTCCAAAGAAAAAACAAGGATCAGATGAAGCAACATGATAATCCCAACCTATGTGGATCAGATCATTCCCGGTTACCATGTTCAGTGTCTTATACTACATTACGTACGCTTTGAAAAATTACGTAGGTAATACGTGAATACAGTAAAAGTTCAAGCAGAAGAGCTGGGTGCTTTTCCCATTCCCAAAAGGTAACCAATTTTAAGTTTACACTTTTAGTTCCAGTGATTATCATCATCACTGTAATAGTTTCTTAAAATATTAACATCATGTAATGAATTTAGTGTACTTATGCTAACTTCAAGAACCTTATCCATAGATGCTTTCTTAATTTATTTAAAAGTATTTTTAGTTCCTTTATTGGTTATATTTTATTTCTTGGCCTTTTAATACCAGTCAGCATCTAATGATTCTCCAAAAATAGTAAACGTGTCTAAACTTTCTTTGACTTCCTTGCCAGCTTTTCTTTTTAAAGCTGTATATACTATCACTTCTACATTGTCTGGGTTTATTTATCTGCATATTAAATATAAGGTTCATATGCTTTGTTCATAAGTGGATGCTAAAAACTGGAAACCATTAAATAGTATATTTAATTGTGTGTTTACTTGGAATATAATTTACATGAGTACCATGAGTGGATTGACCAATGGAATGACTTACCCTGTTAAAAGGTGTAGAGATTAAACGAAATCTATTTTCTTACCTAAGCTGCAGAAAATCATGCCACTTTCATAAGTTTTGCACATTTGGACTATGATTCCCTACTATATCCTTCTGTTTTTGAGAGTTACCAATTGTCTTTCTTTTTCTATGTTGGCAAATAAAGCAGCTACTTTCATCACATCACTACAATGCTTCAGGTTCTCAATAATATAGTTTTTGTAAGAGAATATTCTGTCTTCTTATATATTTCAAAAAGTCTTCTAACTTAATCTTTCAGTTGGATCTAGTTATTTCTAGGGTTGATTCATGGCTGTCTTGAGTAAATTGGACTATTTCTAAAATACTATTTTATGTTTTTTTCTTGGATTATTTTATGGTTTGCTGGGCTACATTCTTAACATATAGGTGCATATGTATGTCTGTCTGTATTATTTCAGAATGGGCACGTGGGAGATAAACTTTCTGGGTGTTTGCATTTTAAAATATTATTTTGTCTATTATTTGAACAGTATTTTTACTGATATGTCAATGGGAGTTCTTTAGGTGTAAATAATAGGATCAAATTCTGGCTAAGTAAAGATTAGTTTATTGAAAGCATGGTGGTGGCTATAGGAATCTTTAGGAAGTTTGAAAAAACAGGCTGCGCAGCAGACAAGAACCAAAAGCAACCCAGAAATCAGTGACTTTCTGGTCTTTTACTACTGTGACATATCATCATTTTATTATTCTGAGCTCCTATTTTTGTACTTTGAAATATTGGTCAGTATCATACCGATGACTTTCTTTTTTTTCCCTCAAGAGTTCATCAATATCTCTTCTGTCGTTTTTTTTTTTTTTTTTTTTAGCATCAGTAAGGCTTTCTTCTTTTTTAAATAATGTTTTTCTCATGATTGCACTGGGATATTGGAAGAGATGAGAGACAATACATTTTAAAAGGACACTGGCAAATTGTTATGTCCAGAGAGTATCTAGAACAATAACAGGATTGAAAAGCATGTCACAGGGATATGGAGAAATTGGTAATGTTTATTCCAAAGTCTTAGGTGACATGATAGCGGTCTACCAACATGTCCAGGATGATAGGAAATCAGAGTGACTAATTTGATGTCAGTGTAAGGAAAATGTTTCCTGTCTTTTCCCTGCATTACATTATATGAGTCCATGTTTTATATTTCAATATCTTCCTTGGACTTTGCCTCAAGATGTAACGTTATCATCCCTTATTTCATGCAGGACATTTCTCATTATTATAGTGGTTTCTCAGATGCCTTTCTTCTACTTTACCTTTACCAGAATTGTCCCCCTACCCCAACATTTATTTTCATTACAAATTAGAAATTTACTGAGGAACTATGAAATAAAGTCTGGAAGGACAGATACGGAGAAACAAGACTTACCCCACTATTGTTAGGTTCAGAGCCAATGAACAAGATTAAATATGAGGGTCTTGAGGTTAAGTTTATGGGAAAATTTCCCACAAAGATGGATTTAAAAAGTCATGGGTTGCCATAGAAACAAGGATACCGGGGCACTGGGTGGCTCAGATGGTTAGGCGTCTGCCTTGAGCTCAAGTCGTGATCCCGGGGTCCTAGGATCGACCCCCACATCGGGCTCCCAGCTCAGGGGTAAGTCTGCTTCTCCCTCTGCCTCTGCCTCTCTCCCCTGCTCATGCTCTCTCTGTCTCTCTCTCTCTCTCAAATGAATAAATGAAATCTTAAAAAAAAAAAACAACAGAACAAAGATACCTTAAACTGGGGTGCTCTTTTTAAAAACAAATAGATTCCAGTCTCTAGATGATTTAGGTGTGGTCTGTTTGAGGGTACGAAGAAGGACTAAATTAACAGACTCCTAACCATGTCCCACAGGGTGCTAGGAGCTCTTAGGAGTGCAAATCATCTATCACGTAGGGGGTGTGTGTGTGTGCATGCATGCGCTAATCTTAGCAGTGAAGTTCTAGGGGTCCCATTCCCACTTCACTAAAGGCGAGTTAACTTTTATTGATTTCTCTGGGCTTCCACAAATGACTTTTATTTGAATAAAAACTATACGGGTAAAAATTGGGGAAAACTTCTGGAAAGCATAGAGGTCAATACCAGTATATATGAATATATGAAGGCAGTAGAGATACTCTGATCAATATTGGTGATTTTGTTCCTCTTGAGTTCTTATACCTGATTATATAATGATTTAGCATGGGATTCGCCTAGGGAAGTTTTAAAATGCAATGAGAAACTGATGTTGATTGTCTGTTTTTACCCTGCAGCTAAACAGTCTCAAATTTTTGTGAGGAAACAGCAAATTTTTATTGATTCCAAATCTGGGGTCCTGAGAGTGGGAGAGGCATGGCAGTTAGTTAAGTCCTTAAGCACAGAGACTAGGTCATGAGAAAGTCTAAGACCTTGAGCTGTGGGTACATTAGAGCCCCTCTCAGGCATATAACAGGTAAGTCTTAAAGATTTTCTATTTGGGGATCATAGATGTTCAGATGTTTTGTTTTGTTTTGTTTCTCTTTTTCTTACAGATGTACTTATTTGCTTTTTTTTTTCTAGGGGTCCAAACTGATTGAAAAGTGCCAGTCTCTCTTGGGAGGCAAATGATTCCAGAAAATGTCAACATAGAGTCTTTGCTGAGATCTGCCTTTTTTTTTTTTTTTTTTATAATTAGGAACTCCTTTATTCCTTATCAAAACAATCTAACAGCAAATGTAGATAATAGGTTTCATCTTTACATACAAGTTGTCATTTTTGGATACATCTTTCTGTAGAACTCTGCCACATTCATACCTTGTCCTTGTGAGAGGGTAAAATTTTACATTAGCCTTATTCAAAGAACATGGTAATTGTAAGAGACCAAAAAAAACCCCATGGAGTCTAGGGCAGGAGAGAAGAATTTTTCCACATACAAGCACATTTAAACTTCTTCCAAGTACAAAAACATTTGTCTTGTTGCTTTAAGGATAACTTTATGAATCGTGAGGTCTTACAGTACAATCCAGGTGAGGTGACAGCAAGTATTTTAAGTAAATCCCAATGACTTGAAATTCAAGTCCAAACTAAATATTTAATGTTTTCTTTATTGCAAATATGATGTCTTTAACCTGAGGTATAGAGTTGTCTTCCAGAATCTTTGTATAAGGCATAGGGACGTCAGCACCAGTGACACGAACTGCAGGAGCATCCAGGAAATTGAATGCAGGGCCTTCCATGATCCTGGCACAAACTTCAGCTCCTACTCCAAACTGTGGCCAGCCTCCTTCCACAGTTATGAGATGATTGGTCTTCATGACACTGGCTTCTATTGTTTCAATGTCCATTGGTCTGATG